TGTACTAAATGAAATCCATATGGGTGCAGATAGCTATATGTGCATAGGAAGAGCAGTGTTAGGGACAGTTTGAAGAGGAAAAGAAGAGAAGAGGTTGGATTTATACCACACCCTTCACTACCCAAAGGAGTCTCAGAGCGGTTTACAAATTCCTTTCCCTTCCCCTCCCCTTCCTAAGTAGCGTTATACCTTGCTTAAGTCCATTGGTTGTATTACTGTGCTTAGGATGGCACTGCAAGTGCAGTTCTAGCTCCAAAGGACCTTTTCACATGGAGGGGCACTGAAAATGTGACAGCTCTCTTACAGTTGGAAATGTTATAGTCAAAAATGCTGCCTGCCACTTCATTCTGCATAATATGTGTCTAAACAAAGAGAATTAAAAATGGTATTGCATACTTGCAGCCCTAAGTGGTGCAGTACACTGCTTCAAAGGTCCCTACCATTTCATTATGCTGCAGATATGGACTAGTGTATCTGTGCTGCATGTCTTTTGTTCTTACATAAGATTCTGTCTTACAGGAAAGCACAGTCACATGTACGGTTTAATATTTTATGCGTGCGAGTGACTGCGCCATGTTGTCAGATGTGATGAATCATAACTAAATACCAGCTTTGAAGTATAAATGACAGTCCTCCTGAGGTAGAGCAAAACTGAAAACAAGTCCCAGAGTGGTTCCCCCCCCCCCCGGGTGCATTATTTCAAATTGGACATTAGAAATAATCCCCAAATCCAGAAAGGATAGCACAAAAGGTGAAATGTAAATCTTGTGGAAAGGTGCTTTAGCTGTGCCAATGAATGAGTGAAAACTGGGCATGATTTTGTGCCAGGCAGGATTCTGTGTGGTCTGTGTTTATTTCATACAGCCGATTCATCAGCAAATTCTAACAGCTTTCTGCCTGTATGAAAGCAAACGCTGTACATTTTTAACATGGCTTGGTTAAATACCTTGTTCAAGTCAACCATTCGATTTGTTGTAAACTGCTTGTTATACTGATAATGGTGTTTTGAGAGCTCTTGCTGTTGTCCTCTGTAATGGCCAAATGCAGCAATAAACGGTAAACAGATCCGGAACTTCTTAAAGTGGCACATAGGAGCTTGTAGCAAGCACTGCAGTGTACAGCCAGAACAGAAATCTCTTTAGATTTCAGTGACATCTCCCCTTTGAAGAGGGGTTAAAGGACTCTGCTTTGGTGCTGTCTATAGCCTCTTTAGGTTTTAATTTCTTTGAGGGAGGAAACACCTTGATGTGAAAGGCTTGTGTAATGCCTGGCAAATTGGATTTAGGGTCAGTTAACAAATGAGGAAGAGGGGTTTGCTGTCTTTTTGGAGCAAAAATATATACCTTTGAGAGCAAAATTATTATAGCGAATCCCTGCTGAGAGAACTCACTTTTATCTGAGGTGGCTCTGTTTGAGTCAGGGTCATTCAGTGAACTTCCCCAGATAACTCGGGACTAGTTTTTGTCTTTCCCTGCCAGTTTATTTTTTGATCATTTTAAAAATTAATGTCCTCGTTAGATGGCCTGTCTATTCAGTTCACAGAGATCTTATAAAATGGGTGATATGCTTGTCCAGAAGCAGATTAGAGCTGTTAGCTAGCATGTCTTCCTTGGGTATGGGCCTCTGTATTGAAGACAGATCCAAACCTTATTTTGAGTTATTTCTTGCTTTTTTTGTTCCTAATGTTGTGCCTTTCACCTTTGACAGCCTGGCAAAATAATATTGTTTTATATCTTGTTTGAAAATCTTTGAAATAATTAAATACCCAGAAGATAGCTCAGTATATAACATGACATATTCCTATGCTGGAATGTATTTTGAATGCTTGTTATGAGCTTGGAAGTGCAATACTAATAACATTTTCATGGGAGTAAGCTCCACTGAATAGACCTGAATGAATTCTGAGTAGACATACTTAGGTTTGTTAAGCGGACAATCCTAAACAGTTCTATTCAGAAATAAGGCATATTTCAATCCCAGGAAAGTGCCCTTTGCATTGCTCTCTAAATCTGTCAAGAATGGAGTGAAAGGACTATTGTTCTCTAAGTTCAGTATCTTCATCCTAAATGCCTCCCCCCCCCTCTTTCTGTTTTGTTAGGCTGGAACAGAACCATTGCTTATGTCTCCCTTCACCTGTCAGGAAATTCAGCTTTGGTCTGCTGCTTTCTAGTTGGCCACAAAATTATTTCATATTCTCATCTGTCTACAAAGACGATCGATATCATCTGCACGTATGAGGATCTTAGGCTGCTGATTCAACTGTAATGCCTCTTTGAGTATGAGTGAACCACCACCCCAACTTGTGCCACTTCCACACTGTCATTTTGTCACTTGTTTGTCCCTATTGCATTGGGGTCTCCCCCCCCCCTTTCCACATGTGTTTTGCTTCCTCTGGGACTACTAGAGAGAGCAAAACACATGGGGGGGGCAGAACCCTGAAGCAATAGGGACAGACAAGTGACAAAAATGACAGTGTGGAAGTGGTGTTGCTTTTTCTCACCAGAGCTTGTCTCTGGTCTGTTAGGTTAGCTGCTAGTGCAATAATATATCGGTCAGCATGTCGGTTGAATTATTCCAGTTTTAAGGGGTTATTTTTAATCACTGGATTTCTTCAATTGTTAGTTTTAAGAGGCATGTTTGAATATTATTCACTCTTCAAGTTAGGTACTGTATCTGCTCAAGATAATATTTATTTCTGAAGAATACATACCCCATTTCCTAGTCACAGGGCTTTAAAACATGGCTTGAAATATGTTAAGAGGGATTCTTTCACACATCTGTAAAAGTGTATACTGAGTATTCAGTGGGCAGTCTCCATCCACTGTGTCCACAAGGTCTAGTGCACGTAAAAGTTTTAGAGCATGGAGGCTCCTGCTCATGTAGAGAGTCCACTGCAAATAAGCTTAACAACCAATTTTGCCAGGTAAGGGTTGGGTGGTATCAGGCCTAGATGTATTGGACTCTGCATTTGAATACATTGTAAGTTATGCCTAGTGCATATAGATGAGTCAGATTCACAGAGTGTGACGACTATACAGTATTGCCCTCTCCGGGAGCTCTTTGGAGGAGCATCTAAGGAGACATTTGGACCCAAAAGATCTTCTTGCTGCTGCAGAAAGGCCAAAAGGTCCCTTACATTGGAGCAAAATTCCACTGTTAAGGGAACAGAAACTTTAGAGCTGATCCATTTTCCTTATTAGAGACTGTCATATGCTAGTGTTAAGTATCCATTGCTGCCATTAAACAGTTGGGGGTTATTTTCATCATGGAAGTTGAACGTTGGTGTTTGAACAACAGCATGCTTTAGCTTTCTTTGACAAACCGAAAGCGCAAGCAAAAATGTAAAAGAGTGAAAGGCAGCTTTGGTGGAGGATAGATAAAAGTGGATGTTAAATACCTTCTGAATATGGCAACAAGTGCCTTATATTACTGTACATCTGTAGAGAATTGCTATGAGCAGTAAATGTGTAAGACAAGATGTTAAGGTTTGAACACAGCCCTTTGAATTGTGGGCTGATTTAACTGAGATGTCAAAGATGTGTGTGAAATTCTTTCATTTTGCATTTGCCTTTTTGTTGTAGTGGTCCGAGGCTCATAAGATTTGTGGAATGGTGAGCTGCTGGGGTGGTTGTTAGTAACAGTGCTATTTATTTGTATAGCGGGTTGGTGTAAGTGGCACTGTAGAGTTCCGTAAGTAAAAGATAGCTAGTTTATTACCCCTGTGGAGATTATGATCTAAAACAGATGATGGGAAAAACAGTGGGGGAGGGAGAGAAGGATATTCTGCTTCAGTGCCAGGGCATCACATCCTACCTGCCTTGGAATTACCATTGATTCATGTGTGTTTGTAACAGAGGAGAAAGGAAGACTTTTCTTTGAAAGTTCTGAGATCTAAGTTTTCATATTTTGGCAAAGAAGAGATTTCAAATACGGCTACTCCTGTTCTCGCTTCTCTCAAGCTATTCATGTTGACAGGAGTTTTTGCGCACAGATTGAATGTGTTACTGTGCTCCATATGATCCTCAGGTTCTCAGTGCTTCCCTTGACAATCCTGTCTGTCTCCTGTGAATGCTTGTGGAAGTAACACATGTATGCTGAGTAGAGAAAAGAACCCTTCTGTTCGCACTTCCCCCCCCCTTCCAATTTATGAATGCTCTTGAATTAACAAAACAGACACTATGTGACAACATGTGATTCTGTACTTTTTGAACTAGCTTACAGCTTAATGAAGCTTTGGCAGAGAGAACACAAAATCTGGGATGTTAATAACAGCCTAAAATGCACGGTGTCCTGGAGATTAAAATGTTCTCCAAGCTTGCAATTACATCAATTGTTAGCTCGATGTAAAGAGACACTGTTCTCTACATCCTTTTCAAACAAGGTCATAGAAGAGCACCAAGCAATTTATCTCAGCCTCTGAACCCTAGAAATGTGAAGTCGTTGGTCAGCGAAGTCTGCCCATTTAATAACCATCTAGATGGGGTTTAAATCAATTGGAAAATCAATACTGTGTGACAATTTTGAAATATTTTTTCCCAATTTACCTTCTGCTGGGTAATTATTTGTTTAAAGGAAATACCGCTACAACCTTCCCCCACAGTTACCAATTCATTGTAGTTAGAGAGAAAACTTCTATAAAAGACTCCTATATAATTTGCTGATCAATCTGTTTAAGTGTTGCTGAAGTGCAGCATAGCTGCAGGTCATCAGGGCTGGAAAAGCAAATTAACCTGACCTTATGTTGCTTTCTCATCCCTCAGTCATTGCAAAGAAACACCACATCACAGTGGCCAGTCGTTTAGGTTCAAGTTGCCCCATGGAATTTATGGCAATAAATTTAGCCTTAAAACAAACATCAGTACCGATATCAGCACCCAAAAAATGGTGGTCTTAATTTGCCTTTAAATACCCCCAGCCCCATAAAAAGAAAAGCGTACTGACAACGTAAAAACAAAAGGAGGAAAAAAGATTTTTATTGATATGTTTTACTTTGCTGGCAGACCAGAGCAAAGGTTTTCTGAACATTTAAAAGATGAAAAAGGTGAAGAATCCCAGAAGCGATTTATCTTGAAGCGAGATAACTCTAGTATTGATAAAGAAGACAATCAGGTTGGTTCTCGGTTCGAGAGTTGCTGAACTTTGTTATTGTCGTTTTTTGGAAGTGGGGCTGGCTGATGTTCTTGTTGTTATTCTGCTGCTGCTGCTGCTGCTTCCCTTCCTGCTCCCGCTCCATCTCTCTCTCCTGCTCTTGCTCCCTGGTTTTGGTGCTCAGTGGATAACATCCAGCCACAAGCGTGTTTGTTTCAGCAGTGGCAGTTTTGCATGAGTGGTTTTGCTTGGCGCAGGAAATGCTGCATGCAGAAGGGTGATGTGGAATGTTCAGAAGGCTCCTGAGCTGCGGGGAAGTTCTTTTCTGCTGCTGCTTCTTCTCCTTTTTTTTTTTGCAAATGTCTTTTGTGACTCTATGAACACTTGGACCAATTTCTACCGATATACTAAGCTGGTTGGAGACTAATGCGTACTAATCAGAGCCATAAATGGGAGGAATATCACAATGAGGCCAAATTGATTTTTCTGTTATCCACAAGTGAGTTTGCGCAGGGGAAAACATCCTAAAATTTCAGTTTCACCACCACCACCACCACCATGTTTAATTGTTCATGTAACTCAGTTGCTTGGATTTTTTTTTTCTTGCATGCTTGTGCCCGAAACCTCTCCCCTCTGTGTGCTGCTTGTCATGTAATTCTGCATTATTAAAGCTATCAAAATGAGACATGCCAATATAGGACTGTGTCAGGAGCTGGCTAAGTTAACAGCCTTTAAAAAAAAACCTGTTGAAAAGCAAACATTTTGCTTAGAAAATACATGCAGTCATTCAAAACTAAGGAAAAGAACTTGAAAAAGGTTTCTTTTGGTTCTGGAAGAGCTTTTGTAAGAAAATTCCTGAAGGTAAGACAATGTGTACATTCTCACCTGGGATTTTGGCACTATGATGTTTTCTAGTGAGTATGTCTACACCAGAGTGCCTCGCTGTCGCATACGTTTAGCAAAGAGACTATTTTACCTATTTTACCCCCACCCTTTTCTTCTACAGTTGCATAGATGTTTTCCTAGGCACTCGGCATCACAGCTGGCTTTCAAAAACAGAAAAGTTTAGGTTGTCAAGAATGTGAGGAAGGACCTGAATAACTAGTGTGAACGAAACATACTGCGGATAAAGCATTGTAGCTAGAGGCTAGCTGCAAATGGAAAGCTTTGTACAGGGGGTTTTCTTCCCCATTAAGCACCTTTGTACATGTTTTGCTGCTTTCTGGACTGCGTGAAGCATTAGAAGTCTGTATTTTGTCTCTTGTCTGTAGTAATAGCCTAGGGGCCACTCCTGAAAGTATTAAAACTCTTGTGCAGAATATTCTCAAAAGCATTTATCTTTCTTGTATTTGAACCTTGTAAGGTTCTTTCCCCCCCAGTTTTTAGTTCCACTTCATTTTCCAAAGTCTTTCAGTTCACTTCATTATCAGATATACCGTTTACAGGAAAGTTGGGCAAATCTGTTCTTCCCCCGACAAGCCAGGTGCAAGACAACCTGGATGCAAGGGATAAGCATTTTAAAATTCTATGAGTTTTAACCACCACCAACACCCTTTTCCTGACTCCCCCTGGAGGCCATAGCTAAGTCGTTGAACACAAGTTGTGCAAGAAGATGATCAAAGGTTCGGTTCCCGTCAAGGTCTCGGGTTAAGACTGGAAACCCTGGGAAACTGCTGCCATCAATAGCCAGCAATAGATAGACCAAAGGTCTGGCTCTGTGAGGCAACTTCACACAATCACAGGTGACTAAAAAAGAGAGACCCATTTAAACTAGGCACTCCCAGTATCAAGCATTTCAGTGCTATCGAGTACATAGCAGAATGCCGTGATTTACATGCCACCTTAGGAGGAGGACAACACTCTCATTTTCATGCCTCATTGGTTTAAGTGAACATTTATTATTCTCCGCTGACAGTTATTTAACTGCAGTTTTTAGCAGCTCAACTTATGTAATCCTCCTGGTTTTTTTTATGCTCAGCAAAACAGAATTCATCCATTTAGAGATGACAGACGAAGTAAATCAATTGAAGAGAGAGAAGAGGAGTATCAGAGGGTGAGGGAGAGAATATTTGCACAAGATGTGAGTAGTTGTTTTAATTGCCTCTTTAGTGCCATATCTTTATCAGTAGTCAGCCAGTGTACTCTCCCCTCTGACACTGTGGCAAGATCGCACTTTGTGGCAGGAGACAGTGGAAGGGATACGATTTGGACTAGATGGAGAAAAGCCAGCTCCAATGTTTTTTTGCGTGTTGCTTGTTTCTGGAGAAGACAGAGACTGGGATTTGTGAGGAAAAGAAATTTATGTCTGACAGGGCAACTCTGTTGGATACCTTGCTTTTGTAGGCCTCCGTGTTCTGGATGGCATAGGCATAATTCTCAAATCGAAGATTGGTTTAAATGGACTTCTGCATGGTGTGATATAATTACAGCTGTGGTTAGGAACATTGATGCTTTTTCACTGCTTCCAAAAATCCAAATGAGGAAAACGACTTCAAAGCATGTGTGGTAGTCCTTTTTTCCCCGAACAGGTTAGTTTGCTGGCACATCTGATATACATGCTGACTTGCTCGGTTGCAAACTGCTATATCTAAAAACAATGACCCCTGCACTCTCGAAGTGCATTCAGCATGTTATCTGTCAGATATGCCTCCTTTTCTAAGGGCTGAGCCCAGAAAAAGCTAGTTCTATGGTTTCAGAAGCTGCCTGTGTGCAAGGGTGATCAAGTTTGAGTCTGCAATCTGACCCTCGCCCCCTGAGCAGTTTTGCAACCTTCCCCCCCCCAAAAAAAGGTGCCATAAGAACATAAGAGATGCCAATGTTGGATCAGGCCAAAGGCCCATCCAGTCCAACACTCTGTATCACACAGTGGCCAGAAATGCCAGGTGCCATCAGGAGGTCCACCAGTGGGGCCAGGACATTAGAAGCCCTCCCACTGTTGACACCCCCCCCCCAAGCACCAAGATGACAGAGCATCCCTTGTCCCAGAGTCCCTATCTATACCTTGTAGCTAATAGCCACTGATGGACCTCTGCTCCATATGCTCATCTAATTCCCTTTTGAAGCCATGTGAGCTTTTAATCACCCAAACATGCAAGTGACACTTAAACAATGGAAAAGGCAGACAGTGCACCTGAGGCACGAGGAGGGGACAAAGCAGCAGCCAGCTCTGCATTTACAGCAGAGGCCAAGTATGCTTGCCACTTGCAGTGCAAAGGCAGGGGGAAGCAAAGGTTGCTATGGGGGGGGAGGAAAAAACCCCTCCCTCAAGCTCCTGTCTTCTGCATAGTTGTATGCACCTTGATAGAATATAGCATTTTGTATACTGGAGAATTAATTCCAGATATAAGCACAGGGGAGCAGAAGTTTAATAACAGTAACTACTGAATTGGATCCAGCCACCTTTTTCATGCAGGCTCATCCAGTTCACCTCCTTAATATGGCCCCCACCCCACATGGCTTTAGTACATATAGACCCCATGAGCTTGGTTTTTTCGGTGACCAAAGAGGACTCCTCCTTCCATTCTCACCATATGAAAAGCTGGCTGGATCCACCCCACTAAATGCATTTTTGTGGAAGGCACATCAGGGTATATCATGAAGTAGGAATCGGATGGTGCTGAATGCTGCATTAAAAGGCCCTTTCCTCCTGTGTCATCCTGTAATAGTGTCCTCTAATTGCTGCTTGTAATTTGCAACATGTAACAAATGCACAGCAAAATAGCATTAGGGATTCCTGGAGGCATTCAAAGAGGCATCAATTCACCAGTTACTTTCAGAAGATGAATTTGTGTAGGTTATTATTGATGCACAGAAAGGTCTAGATCTGGGGTGTCAAACATAAGGCCCAGGGAGCTGGAACCGGCCCATCTAGGGCTCTTATGTGGCCCGCAAGCAACTAGTTCAAGGGAGGGAAAAGCAGACTGCTGGGGGGGGGGGGTGAAGAGTGAGCAGAGCCACTCCGATCGTGGCTTCAACATGGCAGAACAACCTCATCTGCAGCAGTCAAGCAGCGTGGGAGTGTCTGTCTAGTGCTGCACCATTGGTTCTCCAGTCCGCCCAAATGGTTTTTCCTTTGCACCCCCCTCCCAGCCCATGGGGCCTTGAAGTGAGGATGCAATAATTTGGAGTTTACCAGCTGCTGTGCTTTATACAGTTCATATCCCCAGTACCTGGCATTACATTTTATGGAATACATGGCCTGGCCTGACAAAGTAACATTTATGTCAGATCTGGCCCCTTGTAACAAATGAGTTTGACACCTCTGGTCTAGATCACCTTCTGCTTTTACACAAAGCTTCGGTTCACTGTGGTCCCACTGTATGAGGTAGGGTTGCCAAGTGGCACTTACCTTGCCGGCGGGGGACTCCCGGGTGGATCCCGGCACATGTGTGCGCACGTGCCACACACACGTCACCAGGAAGTGACGTTATGACGCCGGGCACGCTGGGGGCGGGGCCATGACCATACAAGGGAAAACCACAGAGTTTTCCCTTGTATGGCCGTGGCCCCGCCCCCAGCGTGCCCGGCGTGCCCACATCACTTCCTGGTGACATGCACGTCGGAGAGGAGTTCCCCCGGGGCCCGATCCGGCGCCACCGGGGAACGGGCCTCTGGGAATTGGGATCCCTAGTATAAGGTGGACATAATTTTGACTGGAAGAAAGAAATCTGACATTAACACTTTCTGCAGTTCTGCGGTCTCTCCCACATACATCAGAAAGAATCATTATCTGATTGTTAGACCCATGTGATTGCTAGGGATGAATATAGATAGATTAGTAGAATAAATACATATGCATTCTGGATTATGAATAGTGCTCCACCTTTTTCTAACCTAATCAGGTGGCACATGAATATGTGACAGATATGATATGACTGATGAAGTGAATTTTGACTCAAGAAGGTTTATGCAGCAAGAAATGTTCAGGTGGGTAGCTATGTTGGTCTGAAGCAACAGAACAAAGTTTGAGTTCAGTGGCACCTTTAAGATCAATGTTTAATTCTGCGTATAAGCTTTTGTGTGTATCAGTGAGATACCACTGGAATCCTGTTTCACTTTGCTGCAACAGATTAACATGGCAACCCGTCTGAAATTACTTCTCATGGGGCATTATTTTTATAGGGGTATAAATCTACAAATGAGTGTCACAGCCCATTTTTACACATTCATACAGTTTTAGCATATGATCTCGGTAGATGTGTCATGTCTTTGCATCCGTATAACAGACTATCACAGGTTGGAACCCTCTCTGAGCCTGCTTTGCAGGGAGGGTGGGATATAAATTGAAGGAAAAAAATAGATGTTATATTTTAGAAGCAGCTTATGACTTTGTGAATCGTCCTGTCTGCAGGTAGTTTATAGAGTAGCTAATAAAGGGGTACTTTCTTAGTGCAACAAAGGTCCAGATAGGGTGTAGTAAAACCCTACCCATGAGGGAAAGAACAAGAGGGCACCTTACCTCCTTGCTGACCTAGCATGCCTTCTTCACCACTGATGTCAGATATCATTGTACTATGGTATAATGTTCCATGGTGCCACATATAGCACTGATAAGCTCAGATCACATCCTCAATTCCCAGGTTCTATATTGGAAATGGCCATGCAAATTGAGCCTACATACACCATGTGGCACTTGCCTTAGCTCCTTCCTTCCTTCCTTCCTTCCTTCCTTCCTTCCTTCCTTCCTTCCTTCCTTCCTTCCCTCCTTTCTTT